GTGCGTGTCTGTACGTTTGTGCGCGCGCGCAAGAATGTGTGTATGTATACACGCAAACACAGATATACATATCTATATAACTATATATATATATATATATATATAATGCGCAGGTATTCCTATTTCAAGTACATGCTATCGTAAGCACGCCATGGTTTAGCGAGGAGATCTGCTTATTCTGAGACAAACCTCCGGTAGTTGACATCGTGACCTATTCTTGATGTAATAGTCATCGTTCGGCGCATACAGGACGTTCGTACTCGACTGGAGAGTATGGGGCGTGCCGTCAAAGTCCCCACTCGAAACGCGCGATTTAGACTATACATGGTTCCGACTACAACTGCAACAGACCACCGTGAGCATCACAGGCTACAGTAGTTGAAAGGTATGTTGGTATTAAATATATTGGTATATGAAGCTAAATATTTATTTGGTTCTTTGTGGCATAGATTTTTTATATATTGATTTGTTTTTTGAAAAGTGATGATCAAGTTTTGATGGGGTTGATATGATCAGAGCTCTCTCTGGGGATTAACTCGGAAACTGGGGAAACTGGCCGAAAAGGATGGGCAAAAGAAGGGCCTTTAGCATTCGCAGCCTTCTTCAAAGTGAACTATGGCCCAATTGAAACGTTTTTAATGTGATAATATTGACCAATGGTAAAATCTCGTCGCAATGCTGGCAATCAATAAGAATGCGAGCTATTACAACTATTGTTCGCATTTAGAAATATTAAATACTTGTGTATATGGTATTGTATATGTAGTAGACTGTATAGTGCTTAAACCCAACTGGACTTTCAAATATGTGCATTTCACACTGCTACAACGCCACCTAATTGTCAGAAACAACGTAGACACGGTGGTGCGAAAAGCATCGGGTGACTATCGGCGCGGAGTTGGAAGGCTGATAGCATCTGAGTACATCTGAATGAATCTGAGTATACCTGAATGCATCTCTTCACCTTCACGGACACCTGCCTGTCGGCTAGACAACCTTGTTTGGCTTGATAGCCACTTTGGCCACACAAACCGGGTCCACTACATCAACACATGTAGGTCTGGCATGTATTGTAACGGAGTCCTGGTAACCAGCGGCGTCCCATGTCCACCTGGCACACGAACACTCCATTTGAATAGTTCATTCACCCAATACCGAATCTGACGCCGACAATACTGACAACACGCTGGCATCACTCGCCAATACTGACAAAACTGAGCCACAAGTAACGTATTAGACTATATGGAGGGGCTTTATTCGAGGGTCAGCTACTTGTACGATGACAGAAACCCGATAGTGATTCCAGATAATCTGGATTTTCTTTTTGATTATGCGAAGCGAAGCCAACGTTGACAATCTTGAATGTGCAAGTTAGCCAATTTCTATCAGTTCCTTGCTGCTATCAACCAGATATACAGAAGAGCAACTACGCACACATAATCATCTTACA